AGCATTGTCTATAAATCAATGCCCACCTCCTTTTCCTGTTAGGTTTTAGATCTGCCCCCAAGAATATAACAGTAAATCCAGTAAAATCTGTATATTAAAATATAACCCATTTAACAAATCTTATATTTTATTTGGCTTCTGTGAAGTTTCATACATATCTTCATCTCATCAAAGTGACCACCAAAAATGACCCTACAGACAACAATTAGTGAGGAAACAATGTTGTGTTACTATTAACTGAACTCCGAAATGTATTCAGAGTTCACGAGTTTTCCCATCAGTATCCATGTTTGGTTCTGCCAATCAAGGATACCACATTGCATTTTTTGTTGTGACTACGTGGCCTACTTTGGTCTGTGACAGTTTTTCAGTCTTTCCTAGTCTTTTATGACCTTGGTATTTTTGAGGAGTATCAGCCAAGTATTTTGTAGAATATTCCTCAGATTGGGTTTGTTTTACACCTTTCTCATGATTAGACTAGGATTAAGAATTTTTACAAAGAATACCACAGAGGCTGTGTGCACTTCTTATCACTTCCTAACAGGATCTGCATGATAATCCATGATATCACAAGTGATCTTAACCTTTACTACTTGCCACATGAGGTAAATGACATTTATTTACCAGACTTCTCCACCAGAAGTTGCTGTTTTTTTCTGTTTCCGTACTTTATTCTTTGAAAACTAGTCACTAAATCTAGCTGGTGCTGGTATTAAATCCACCTTGCAGAGAGGTCAGTTTCATTTTATTCTTGTCTTCTGCCCAAGTGCGAAGCACCAGGGCCTGGTAAACTCCTCTGCTCTTCAGGGAGCAAGACCCTTGTTGCCTGAGAGAACTGGGACAGCCCTGCCCCCTAGCACCCATTTCTCAGCGATGTGACTGGTAGTGAGCAAGTGTTGAATTAGTGCTTAAATGAATAGTGACGAAGATTAACAAGACTCATTTTCCCTCTTGATTGACCTTCTTTGATTGGAGAACTCTTAAAACAGAAAAAAAAATAAAAGAACTTCAAAAACAATCATGCTTCACAAAAAGCATTGAAAGCAACGTTCTGTCCCCTTTCTTTGAAAAATTATTGCCACTGATGGTAGGCTTGTTAAATTGTCATGGAGATTCCATCATTCACATTACATATTTGCAGCGTATTTAACCTATCACTATTCAGACTAATGTAATATATTAATGAATAGGGAAAGGAATATTTACTTTTGAATGTGATATTCTGATTCTTGAGATGAAGGGAGTGAGAAAGAGTTAGTAAGAAGTCAGAAGATAGAAGTATAAAATTAAAACCAAAACAATGTGCAGATAACATGCTATACAGTATCATTAGAGGACAGAACTATGCGACTCTTTAATCTCATCTTCCAATTCATTTCTTTGTGCCAGAAACAAAAAAGTATGTAAGGCTCTGTGTTAGGCTGGAATAAAGTTGAACAAGAGGGAGAAAGGATCCTGTTCCCATAGAGCAATCACCTGGTGGTATAGGATTAAACAATATAAGTATTACAAGATGTACAAAGGAAACCAAGAACCTAGTGCCAGAATAGTGCAGAGTCCTCGTGCATTTCTCATGGAAGCCTTTCCAATAACAGGATATTTATGCTGAAATCAAAACTTGAGCCAGGGGTATCAGATGCACTTGTCGAATTCATTAAAAAGAAAATATTTCTCAACATAGTTGAGCGAGAAACTCAATCTATAATTTTAGCTTCTTTTGGTACTGATATGCTAGCAGTACGTCTCCATCAAGATCTCATTTCTTTAAGATTCTCAACATGGGAAATGACTTTTGGCAGGCCAAACTGCCCTTTGGTTTCCATCCTGTGCCTCACCCCTCCCCTTCTGAGAACATGTCCTTGTATATGAGGTCGCCATGTCAGAGTTGGTGAGCTGTTCAAAATTAGTCCAGCTGCCAAAATTCGAATTCCCTGCTTATTCAAGCAGGAATCAATATGGGGAAACGAAAGTGCAAATGACTTTTCCTTCTTATTTCAGATGGGTAATGTCATACCAGAGAGAGGGGGGCTTCTTGCTGATACCCTTTTTTCCCCCCAAAAACGGGGTTTATGTTAACCATAGTCTTTATTTAGTGCCATGTTTTTAACTTAAAACCATTCATTCAAAGTTTTGAAAAACAAAGCATTCAATACTGTGAGACTTGTGCAACTGCAAATGATTAATGATATAATCCCCAGTCCTTTATAAAGTGTCTTAACACTGAAGAGATTTATACAGTGTGGAATGGCAATGGAGCTTTGGTGTGAGAATAGGTAATCAATACCCTCAAGCTTAGAAAAGTGTTCTATTTCCTCCACTAATGACATTGGGGTTTTTGCAAGGCAAGGGTGTCTGGAGCATGAAGCACTCCAAAGAAGAATTAATTTAAAATCTGAAGTGGAAGATCAGTTTCAATTAAAATTGCACTTGAACGTACATTGGGTGGAAGTGTGAAAGCAAGCATGTAGTCGGCTTAAATCTTCAGATTGTTACCAGTGAATAAATGAATCCCACTGGCTGGAACCCTGACTATATTTTTATAGAGTGCTAAATTATATTTCACTCATGTCTAGAAGGTTATGAGAAGTAATGAACATCAAGTACTTTTCAGAGGTTACAGAGTAATTTTTTTATTAGTTAATTATCAGGTGTCTCTGTGTTTGTACAAGTGATGCTTTGCATTCTTACTTCTTTTGGTTCAAACATGTGTAGATTTATTTTACCATCCATTTTTTCCATTGAATGTAATTTTATTGTACTAGTGGGTTTCCAAAAGGCACTACACACACACACACACACACATGCACATACACACATGCATGCACACGATTGGTATTAAAACATTAGTTTCCATATTTTCAACATATAGGCCCAATTGTACTTTGGAAATGTAAATTTGGTTAGCCTTCAAATATATCAACAATCACTTTATTCAGTTTTTCAATGAATTTTTTTTGGCATGTGGAAGAAAATTTAAAGAGGAGTTGGGATAATTGGAGCCACTCATTAAGCACTTTCCCCCCTCCTTTTTTTTTTTTCTTCAAATATATTGAAGTAACATGAAAACAAGGTTAGTCTAGAATACAAGGTTTGTTCAGTAGAAGTGAGGCTTGCTTGAGTGTGATTAGTAGGGTGCATGAATATCTCACATGAGATGGACAACAATTTGAACATTTCACCTAAAATGTCATATGATGTGCTTGAGTGTGCTATTGTTATGTTACAGAATTACATGCTTATGATTTTATTTAAAAAGATTTTGTAATAAAAAGGAGGTGCTATTTGTGCCAGACCCTGTATATGGAAATGCACTCTGTTCTTTTATGACTCAGCACAGTCTTTTGGGAATTTGACCAAGAGGTAAAACAACATGCATGAAAAGACCTGGACCGTTCCAAAGTTAGTTGGAGTCTTATAGTCAAGAAAATGGTGATGTTAAGTTTTTCTAGAAAGTATTATGGCACTTTTCAAAAGTATTGAAAAGTTTGCTAAGGTTGCCAAGGTTGCTAAGTCTTTGCTAATTAGTGACCGTGGGTTTTTTTTGTTTGTTTGTTTGTTTTCTCATAATGCCTTTTATCTTGCTGTTTTGATGAGACACAGAAGTAGGCTGAGTTATTTGCTAGATAGCCAAGACTAGGAATTATTTTTAGGGAGCCACGTCAATTGTTCTTGTAGCCGTAAAGCTTCCATTATCATAACTGAGAAGTTGGTGTTTTTTCATGGTTCCTTTTTTTATATCAGACTTAGGAAGATGGGGGAACCCCATGGCAAGTAAGTATGTGGTGCTTGGTTCAGGCTCTTACTTAGTAGTAGAGAGATTTACCATAAGGTATTTGTGTCCTCCATTATGCAAGGGTAGATATAGAGCAAGGTACAAAAATATGGGTTGTTTGGAGGCTTCATCTCCTAACATCAGTTTGGCTTTTACCCTCCTCTGTTTCATGTGTGCATGAATATAAGACTAAAAACCCTAGGAGCACATGTGTGTTTGCACGTGTATACACACACTGCACTTTATGAGTGGGTAGCCAAAGTGCTATCTTCTAAAAGTTGTAAAGTTTAGACTTTATATCAAACTCTCAAAAAGAGATAATCTTTCTAGAAGAAGATCTTTTTTGTGTGTCATGTCAAGAAAGTTAAAGGTCTAATGCAGGAAAATCTGAGCTAGTAATGAATTAAATAGACGTAGCCTCTGGAACAATTCATTTCCAAATAGGGCAGAGAAACATATGCACTGTGTTTTTCTGTTCCTGATTGGTACCCATTAAGGCTTTACATCACAGTTGCATTCTTTTCCTTTATTTCTGTGGCATATGTCCCCCAAAAGTCTTTATTTATATGAGTGCTGAGTTCAATCTGAAGGTAACTTTATATCCCTGCCTTCGACAGAGAGGGATTGAGGGGAGGTGGGCATCTTATTTCACAAGTGAACAAACTCTGGCCAAATTGAAAAATCCTTCACATTAGACAAAGGAAAACCCCGCCTCATTGTCCACATTATTTGTAATGAATTCTGTCCATTGTTCTGTGGCTTTCATTTTTAATCTTTTCCTTTTCCATGTCAGTGGCTTTTAGGAACTACGAAGAAAGTTGTATTTTTGTATACTGATTACAATAGCAAAACAAGCTAAATTGTTAAGGTGCTTTCTGGTGAATAAATGCTTTGCTTATTTTAGGACACTTAGTGAAAATTTTTTTTAAATGTGAAAACTCTGACAGCTTTTCTGCTCACCTCTTTTACTCTGATTACTGATAAAGTTAGCAAATGTTTGATTACAAATCAAGAAGCCAACTGTATTAAGTAACCTATCTTTTCTCAGATCTTTTTACCTTATCAAGCAAATGGCTTGGATTCATAGTTTCAAATGCATTGACATCTTTGCAGTGGGAGAATGTAGGAAAATGTACCGTGGGAGATGCATGGCTTGACTTTGTACTTCTTACTTGTTCCACCTCGACCCTTGAGCCCTGAGGATTGAAGTACTGTTTTTTTTTAACAGGTGCCTATGGGCCTGAGCACTGGGTGACATCTAGTGTCAGCTGCGGGGGCCGTCACCAGTCCCCTATAGACATTTTAGACCAGCATGCTCGTGTTGGTGAGGAGTACCAGGACCTGCAACTTTATGGCTTTGACAATGAGTCTTCTAACAAAACCTGGATGAAAAACACAGGGAAAACAGGTAGGCTATGTCTTCTTTACTTACTCAAAAACAACATGAACTATTTCTGGATGTTCCTGGTATTTACATTAACCAGGACTTGCTCCTTTAAGCACTGCACAGGCCGATAGAGAATTTTTCACTGAGTGAGAGCTTTGGGATTATCTTTTAGTTTGAGAAACGACGTCTTGTTTTCCTGGCTTGTAATTTGGGGCAAATTCCTTAACCATTCTGTGCATCAGGTTTTAAAAATACGATAAATGTGGGTAATACAATTATATCAAGCTCATAAGGTTGTAAGAATGAAATGAGACAATATATGTAAAATATATAGAATGAACTTTCAAAAATCTGTTCTGTCCAGTATTCAGTATGGTTGCCACTCACCATACGTAGATAAATAAATTTAAGTTTTAATTAATTAAAATTAAGTAAGATTTAAATTCAGTCCCTCAGTTTTACTAGCCACATAACGCCTTCTTCCACCCACCTTTGTTAAGCTATTTGGAATTTTTGAAAACAGAGAAGATACACATTCAGGTCTTTAGAGGAGGGGATTTCTTCACTTATTTTTTTTTTCCAGATTTATTGAAATAAGATTGGCATATAACGTGCCTTTTATTTTGTTGTTGTTTCTTTTGCTGTGTAGAGCTTTTTAGTTTGATGTAGTCTCACTTATTTATCTTTGCTTTTGTTGCTTGTGCTTTTGGGATCATCTTCAAATTATCATTACCAAGACCAATGTCTTTCCTCTATTCTTTTTTCTTTCTTTCTGAATTTTGCAGTTTCAGGCCTTAGATTTAGCACCTTAATCTATTTCTTTTTAAAAAAATATTCAGTTACAATTTACAGTCATCATTATTTTATGTTTGTTTCAGGTATACAGCATAGTAGTTAGACATTTATATAATTTTTGAAGTAATTTCTCCCAGTAAGTCTAGCACCCACCTGGTACCACACGTAGTTATCACAATATTATTGACTATAATTCCTATGCTAAATTTTACTTCCCTGTGACTGTTTTGTAACTACCAGTTTGTACTACTTAATCCTTTCACCTTAATCTTTTTTACCCAGTTTCTCAACACTAAGGCTTTACCCTAAGGCTTTAATCCATTACAAGTTAATTTGTGTGAGTGGTGTAGGTAGGTGTCTCATTTCATTCTTTGAATGCTAATATCCCGTTCTCCCACCATCATTTATTGAAGAAACTATTTTTTCCACATTGAGTAGTCTTGGCTCTATTGTCAGATATCAGTTGACTGTATACGTGTGTATTTATTTCTGGGCTCTAGATTCTCTGCTGTTGGTCTGTGTGTCTGTTCTTATGTGAGTATCATACTGTTTGATTACTGTAGCTTTGCAGTACAGTTTGAAATCAGAACATGTAATACCTCCAGCTCTGGTTTGTTTGTTTTTTTTTTTGTTAGGATTGTTTTGGCTACTTGGGATCATTTGTGGTTCTAGGAATTTTAGGATTATTTTTACTACTTCTGTGAAAAATTCCTTCAAGATAGGGATTTCTGATAGGGATTTCACTGAATCTTTATATTCCTTTGAATAGTATTGCACTAGGCACATTTCAAGTGCCCAGTAGCCACCTGGTTAGCAGCTACCATATCAGACAGTGCTGTGCAAATTTAAATAACATTCTTATCTTCGTTGTGATTTTGCTTTGTTAATATTTCTTACTTTATTAGTTACAGGTTGAGTATCAGTGAATGCTTTGCTGTGCCCCACTGTCTGGTCTGAAAATGAACATTGGGATGTTATGATATATCTCTGCTTAGTGCTACCTGAGCTTCTGTGGGTGCCTAAGATATTTTTCATACCTTATTTTTTAACTCTCTTAACTCATTAAAACAAGCACACAACACACCTTTCTCTCAATGATCCCTTTGTTCTTTGTAATCCATTTAGGAGCCCTGGCTGTCCAAAGTCTTCAAGCTGGGCTAAAATGACTTCACCATAAACCCCTCGGTCCCATTCATGTTGTGAGTCACAGAGTTGCCTTTTCTTTTAACCTAACTGGCTGCACGTGCAACTTTCAGGATCCATTTTCTTTCTCCAAAGCAGCGTTTGTCTGAGATTATTCATGGTTGATTGCTTTGGGTTGGCCTGATTTGTTCATTGAATTGCTTCCCACTCACTCAGCACAGTGATTCTTGGCTTTGGGCTTTTTTTCATGATGTCCCCATAAACAATTCTCATTCATGCTTTTTTATAGCAGGGTATGCAGTCCTGTACTTGATTCACCAATCTGAGTAGCTATTCAACACAAATATATGTAATTTTATGTTATTTGTGCACAATTTTTCACCACCGCCCTCTCCCCTTAGGACTGTGAGGAGGACGGCAGCTTTGCCACACTGGGTGTAATCAGACCCTGGTGCTGAGTGCCACCTCAGGGCCACATCCCAGAAGCCTGCCAAAGGCAATTCACTGGGCTCTCTGATGCGGTTTTCTACTTGACTTGCAACGCTTGACAGCCTTCTGCAGAGATAACACATTTCAGTGACAGCTTTCAGCGTGGTATCTCCAATGACAGGTTTTAGAGGAGTATAGGGTTCACTCAATGCAAGTTGATTTATGACCTTGGTCTTCCAGAAGCTGATTATCAATCTGTCACTCTGCTGACTTCTTAGAGTGATCCACAACTTGTTGCATACTTGCAAGTGCCTGTGCTTGATTTTAGACACAGTTATTTAAATATGAACACAGTTTCAAATTTCAGAAGAAGCATGGCTCTGAGAAGTGGAAATTATTGTGCCCAAACTGTGATTACTACTATGACATTCATGATATCATACTAGATAGGCCAATATCTCAAATAATTTAAGATGATTCTATAGGAGTGGCTTTTTGAAAGTGGCAAACATATGTAGGCAATTTTAAACAGGATGTGGAATTTTTTTAGAAAGATTTAAGTATATGGTAGTGCAGAAATCAAACTGTGTTGTTCTTTGTGTTTATTTAATAAGCACAAATGTTGAAATTTCTCTCATTTTGTCATCTTTACAGTGTCAAGTGAGTTCATAAACTTTCCAGCATTTTAGAGAAATGAAGATTCAGTTGCTTTTTCTGTTATAAGTCATGTAAAGTCAATTGAGTAACAGTACACATACAGTGCAGAGGTGCCTTGTGTTCAAATTAAAGGTGGGAGTTGAGAATATCCGCAATAGATTGTATTGATAGGCAACTTGGCTAATATCAGTTTTAAAAAACACACTTAGTATTGAACTGTAGTTTTGTAAGATGTTACAATTTGGAAAAACTAGATAAAGGGGACACAGAACCTCTATTATTTTTTACAACTGCATGTGAATTTACAATTATCAGAAAAATTAGAAGTTTAATTACTAAAACTCATGTCATAAGCCACACGGTCTGTCTTTGTTACAGTTGTTCATTTTATATCTAATTTGCCCCCCTAGATGAAGAAGAAATGTTAATCATTCATTTTTAAACAACACATTTTTCTTCTCCAAAAGTCTTTTCTTGAACCTTGTACTTTTATAAAATAAATTCAGGAAGGAGTATTTGTTTTCTCTGATGGAAATTTACAAGCCACTTATCTGTAAAATAGACTGTCTTTTGGATATTAAAATATGAATATAGAAAGTTAATATTTAAAGCGGCTTAGTACATATAGGCAGTAACTTTCCCATAAAACAGCTTTAGTGCTCATATCTGTCTTCACCCCCTGCGAGTGCTATATATCCAATCCAGCATAATCAATAGAGCAAGTTGGTTGTACGTAGCCCACTTCTCTGAAGTTGTCTAAAATATCTTTACAAGACAGATAGCATCTCTCTATTTCTTCCTGAGGAGCCATAACTGTCTATTGTACCAGTTCTGATTTGATTTCATCTAAAGTTATTTCCCTTTCATTTTTGTGGAATGAAAAGATAATGCATTCATCAAGAACATTTCAAGATAATCTTGCTGTTTCTAGCATTAGCTTATAGCTAAATGATCAGAATTTAAGATTTAGATGGTGCTTCTGATATATGCTAATAATCCTCCTATGAATTTTAACCATTTGAGGGCTTTTGGGACTTTTCTTTTTTTACTTTTTTTTTCCTTTCATCCCTCACCAAGAGCAAATAGTAAATGCATTTGTCATGATATATGTTACTTCTACTTGCCCACTTTATATTTGTTTACTAAATATTTTTTCTTTGCCTACATTCTCAATTATTAGACAGATGCCATATACCACAGTGTATGGCTCAGGTGGATTCAAGAAACAGTTGTTTAAATTAATAAAAACACATTGATGGTGGGAAAACGAGGTGTGGATCAGTAGGTCAGGAACCACATCTCAATATGTTGTGAGTCCATAAAATTTAGACAAGGTTTAGGAGGCTGTGGCATTCACTTTATTTTGCCTGGCCCTGGGAATTTTTATAGTGCAGTACCACCCTAAGGTGGTCACAAACTAAGAAAAGAACCACGTCATTGCCAGCTGGTGTAATGAGAATTGCGAAGTCTTAACAACCTGAGTTCCCAGGGGCTTTTTCCCTAGTTGAGCATGTGACCCCTTCTCCTGTAAAAGGAGCGTGGGGCCCTGTGACCGCCTGCCCACAGGGCAAGGCTCCCCCAAGGACCAAGCAAATCTCTGACATTAAGAGAAACTGTGTTCCATAGGCCCCGGCAGTTCACAGCTCAAGCTTACCCTGTGCTGCCCTGAAGAGTCAGTGTTCTATTTCAAGGTTGGTGGGAAACTGATGCAAGTCTGGGAGTCAGCCCCTGAAGGCCGTTACTTGCACCTACAGGGCTTTCAATGGCAATCTCTGTGATGCTTGATTTCCTCCCAGGTTGATGGATTTGAATGCTTAGCCCTCACTCAGGATGTGATTGCTCTTGACTACCGTGGTTGCCCCAGGGTAACACGCGTGGCAAGGCCTTTAGCAATCTTGATATTCGTAAGAAAGGGTCTTGGGCAGCACTTTCCAACCAGTGTGCTGCAAGAATTCTTAAAACATGCAATATGTGACTACTTAGGGGCACTAACCTCT